ATCATTAGTAAATATATTATCTATTAGTGTTGCATGCTGGGTTGTTAATCTACTTGGTTTTGTAATTTTTGGGTGTAAACTACATCTATGTAATGTGTTAATAAACTCCTCAGTTCCTGTGTGCTTGTTAGGATTCAACAAATCTATATTAAAGTCACCACATATGAACATTAATTTATGACTTATTGACGAGTAATTTTCTTCCAGCCAGTCATTAAATGTTTCTATGCTGGCTCCAGGTGCTCTGTAGATACAGCTAATTACAACATTCTTCTTTTTTTCCAAAAGTAGTTCAACAGTCACACATTCAAGTAAATTATCAACTACCCTAGACATTTTGTCTACATTCTTATAACAAAAGTTTTTTGACAATAATATGCAGAATAAAAGGTATTGTGTGGTTCAATACAATCTCTCTGGTCAGTACTTCCCTGTAAAATGTCTATAATATTGTAACCAAAAACCGAACATGGAGGAAAATAGGGGGGCAGAGACAGACTCACAGCCCCACAGTGAAGATTTTCATTCTTGTGGTTGTTGATGGAAATACAGTTCATTTGCACTCTTCTGGAGGTCATACTGTATGTCTGACACACTTCCTTTCATAAATCTCTGAGGTTTAGCTTAAGGCCTGTAAATCCAAATATGGACTTTCAGTTTTTACATCATATAAACAATGCTGGGGAAGCTACTTTGAAATCATAGCTTTGCAAGCTACCGATTACTTCACACTGGAAGAAGTTGAACTACAGAAATGGAGAAATCTGTATTTTGTATTATCTTATTACAAGTAAAACAGTAAAGAAAAAATATTTAACTTGCATTGTTTAGATCGTTTGAGCCACATGCACACTCGGCTATAAGAATGGACCTGCTGTTTCTCAGTTTTATAACAGCTGACTGTTACAGTCTTAACAACTAAAACAGTCTTCAGCTTGCACCTTATTAGGCATTATGAACTCTCAAATACTGGTCTAAATAATGGGCCTATCTGTTTACCCACTATAGTAGTCTAAATGGATGTCTCTCCGTTTAATGAAAATGATGCAAATCCCAACATTAAAGCTGCATTAATTAACTTCTCCCTCTCATTTGCTTGCATTAATTAACTTCTCCCTCTTATTTGCTACCATTAAGGGTGATGTGAGAGTCAAAACAAACTCAAGCAGTAGTCCCCTCCTCTTCGTCCCTCCTGCCCTGTCTCTGAAACTAGATCATATGTAGGGACACAATGCCAAATAAAGAGGTTTACATTTTAGTGACATGCATACATTTGTCTAACATTGTTTGATTGTATCTACAGTAACACAAGCAAGTTATACAGAGGAATGTTTTCCCAGTAATATTGATACAGCACTAATGTGCAAGCCACTATCACATCGCCTTCAATGTTGACACACATAACCACAAGTTGCATGTAAAACAAGAAATTTCATGTTACACTTTGATAGTTGAACAAGCTCCCCACTTTTCAAGTTGTCTTTCAATAACTGCTCACTAAAATGCTACAGAGTGCGGTGTTATGCCTGCCATAAACTGGACCAAAACCAAGTACAGCAAAGAGAAAACACTTCTTTACAATTTGTTAATTGATTTATCCACATTTGTGCTAAATCTTAGTTAATGCAGCTTTAAGTATATCACAAGTGAAAGTTATACCTGCTTTAGTAGTGCGGACTTGTGTTGTTTTTCTGTGTGTGTGTGTCCCTGTGCTGTGTGCCGACAGTATTTGCATGGGGAAACCATCTCAGACGCACCAAACCATGAGATCCGGTTGGAGAACTGGAATAGCAACAAGTCCTGCCTGAACAAACAGAGACACTGTCTTACCAAGGCCTTAGTCATTTCAGGCAACTCATTTTATTCTTTTGGAGAATACATATCACAAGCAATTTTCTAAATTTCTCAAATTAACACAGGGATATAAGATGCAGATAATTTAAAGATGTCACCTTGGGCTCTGGAATGAGAATTTTTCACTAATATCTGACTTTAAAAAAAAAAATCAAACTAATTATTAATCCCAAAAATGATTAGCAGAGTTACTGATGAGGAAAGTATTGCTAGATGCATCCCTATAAAGTAGATTAATAACTTCTATACTGAGCAAACTGGACAGTGACCAGTCATAGTCTACAGAGGTTTTGAAGTACTACTCATATTTTATTTGTTTACATTTTCTGCTATGTTATAAGCATAAACTTTATTGCCAAGTATTTCAAGAACACAAAGAATTTGATTCCAGCTCAATGCCCACCCAATGTGCACAACATAAAAACAAAATAATTACACAATATATACAAGTCAAAAATCACAATTATAATTAAATAATTAAACTATGCATCTACTCCCTTACATTTTTAAGGGAAATGTACTTTTGTACTATGGATTAGGGATTTAAAAAAAAACATCTTAGGCTCCAAGTTTCACCTCTGTCAGTTACAACTGTGTAGTCACCAGCCTAATACATCAGTAATAGTCCAATAGAGCAGTCTGACAGGGGCCATTGTGCCACACAGGTTGGTTTATCTAGGGCAGCGATTAACAGCTATTTTAATTACTTTTCAATCTGCCGACTAGCTTCTTGATTAACTGATGAAAAGTTTTGACTATAACATGTAAGAGAAGCGCGTACTCCCATTTTAGCTCAACGTGTTGTCTCCAAGTTCCTGGTTTTCTTCAACTACCTTCTGACAGAGGCTGTAGTTTAGGGAAGAGGCGTGGTTGCTGGCCGCCTGCAGGCGCATTCACGGTTTGGTGCAGCGCTGCACAAGGAGGGGGAGGAGGAGGAGGAACCACTAGTGGGAAAAAGTTAAAGTAAAATGGCTTCCTTGTCTTTGGAACCTACAGAACAATCTGAGAACAGCCCGGAGGAGCCAACGGCAACGGAGTGCAAAAAAGAGAAAGACCCAGTCTTAGTTTCGGAACAGCTGCTCCAGAGTTTCCAAAAGTCGGCTCTACGTTTTTCCACTGACCAAGTATCATGTCTCTGCGAGGCCCTTCTGCAGGCGGGCAATGTGGATCGCTTGTGGAGATTTCTGTCCACCATACCTCCTTCGTCCGAGTTGCTACGTGGCAACGAGACCCTGTTGAAGGCCCAGGCACTGGTGGCTTTCCACCGGGAGGAATTCAAGGAGCTGTACACTATCCTGGAGAGCCACGACTTCCACCCGTCTAACCATGGGTTCCTACAGGACCTGTACCTGAAAGCCCGCTACAAGGAGGCGGAGAGAACCCGGGGCCGCAGCCTGGGCGCAGTGGACAAATACCGGCTCAGGAAAAAGTTTCCCCTGCCCAAAACTATCTGGGACGGAGAGGAAACCGTGTACTGCTTCAAGGAGAAGTCGCGGAACGCACTGAAGGAGTGCTACAAGAGCAACAGATACCCCACTCCGGACGAGAAGAAGAACCTGGCCAAGGTCACCGGACTGTCCCTCACTCAGGTCAGTAACTGGTTCAAGAACCGCAGGCAGAGGGACAGGACCCCGTCCGGGACCCACAGCAAAAGGTAAGACCACTAACACTGTGTAAACACTTATCTGAGGAAATCCAAAAGCCATATCCAGGCGTCATGAACCTTTTTTAGTTGATTTAAAACAGCTGTTTGATCCCTCAGAGAAGTCACTGAAAAGTGATAGACCAATCATAAATGTAAACATAGCCGGCTGCCCTCCACAGGGCAGCACAGAGACAGTGCGTACACAAACTGTAAAGTGCCAAAACTACCAACACAAAGACTCATTGCATCAAGAAAGACGATGGACAGAGGAGCGGACTTTTGACAGTAGTGAAGCCACACAGGTCTGAGACCAAGAGCGTGTTGCTTTGTTATGAAATGTGAGATCCAGGCGCCCACCATGGCTCAGGTTTCCTGAAACCCTGCATCGCTGCCTAGGGCCCGCAGAGCAGGGGTGACCGGGGTTAGAGCGGGTGGGGGTGGGAGGAACAGTCTCCACACTGACTGAAACCTCAGGGGTTTACAGGGACTGTAGGAGGACACAGAGCAGACTCGTCTTCGTTTTGGTGGCGATCTGGCAGATTTGTATGAACCAGAATGACAATGTGCATAGTATAAGAGTTTCTAGGAATGTGATCCAGGTTCAGAGAGTTGTATACAGATGGTAGGTTGGTGTCTTTGCACTTATTACATAATAAAACTAGCCACAGCCAATAAAGAGTATAGTTACAGGTTTCACAGAGAAGATATTGGTTGTCTGAGAATCTCTGGACTTTCTTGTAAACAAAAAATGATTATGAATGATTTTAAACTCCTACTGAGACACACTTCTAGACACGAGGGTGGGAGTGTTGGTGAAGAAAAAATGTTCTGGTTTTTTTCCTCATAGAAATATCACTTTGACAACTGTTTTGGAACATAATGTCAGTGCTACAAGACATTATACACTAATGTGTCATCAATGAAACAATTGTATACATCAAACTTATTGCTATACACATTTAACACACCATATTTCTTGAATTTCAATTTCAGGGAATGAGTTAGGCCTTCTTTGAGCATGACTAAAACCCCACAAAATATGTTATTACAGCAAAACAAAATGTAAATTTCTAAGCTTCCTCTTGACAATTTGAATCGTCCTATACATTCTAGCAATTTCACACTCATCTGCTGTGAACTAAGTTAGGAGATATAATCTAGTGCACAGATGCAGTTTTTTTCTTAATTTATCAGACTCTTAATTCACTGGATCAATGGCAAACAATTCTAAACATTTAACACAATCCTTTAGCACTCCAAGCTTAGCACAACCTCCTAAGTCCACACACACATTCCCCATTTATTTGACCAAGTTATTTTCCCTCCATTTCAGCGAGTCTGATGGCAACCACAGTACTGAGGATGAAGCCAGCGCCATGGACGACACCCCTGACAAACCAGAGGATGTCGCTGGCTCCACAGCTCCCATCATCTCTCTCTCTGCAGCCCCTTGTAGCACAGGAGGTCAGCTTATCCTCAACGGTTCCAGTGGCTTCCTCACAGCATCTCCGCCATTATTACTCAGTGGAAATTCTCTGATCTCTGGTGCTGGTGCTGGCGTCATAATTAACGGGCTAAACTTGGGCGACTGCCAGACGGTCACTTTGAGTCCTGTAGCCACCAACTCTCCTTTGATATTGAATGGGGCTCAGGTAATAACCAAGCCACAAGACATTTCTGTGGCAGAGCCGGAGGTTTCAACCATGGAAGCCAAGACGAGTAGTCTTCCAGCAGCTGGTCTTCGCACTAACGACACTCCGGTCTCAAATCCTCCATCCATCATCTCTCTTCCACTGCAAACCAATACAGACAGTGGCAAAGCAATGGATTACATCAGTGTGCCTGAATCAGAAGGCAGTAGCCAAAAAATATCTTCCTCTTCTTCTTCTTTATCACCCTCTTCACCAACTCTGTCCGCCCCGGCCACTCTCCCTTCACTAGTGCTAACACAAAACACCCAGGAGCCCCTCACCCTCCCAGCGTCTATGTCCTCTGCAGGCATGGCTGTCTCCAGTTCTGCTGTGCCGCTGACCAGTCAGCAAGGGGAGTATGTTGTCTTTGCCACTGCCGGCTCCCAGGTAAACCCTTCTTGCCCTGTGGGTTCCTCCAGCAATACCACCCCTCAGGTCTTTTCTCTGCCCCAGGTTGTGCCTTCTATCCAGGGTATACCAGTATCCCAGCTGGTCCAGCACTCTTCAGGAGCCCAGGTGCCCCAGTGCCCCCAGCTGGTTCCAGTATCGCCCCTCACCTCATCAGCTCCACAGTTTCAAAGCCCCCAGACAGTGAACACGGCCAGCAGACTGGTGCAACAGCAGCAGGATGCTTCAGCAGCGCTTCCCGAAGGTGCCACAGCCATAGTCTCGCAGCTTAACAGCAGCAGTCAGCTGTCACAGCGACTGGCACAGCACCTGGGGGACCAAACCACAAACTCCACACCCACTAAAATTCAGGCCCCACAGGTTATCTCCATATCTTCCCCAACGCAAGCAGTCCCAGTCCCCCAGGCCAAAGGCCTCTCCATGCCTCAGCTGATCCCAGTCTCCCCCATCCAAACTTCTTCTGCCATCTCGTTCCCTCAAGTGGTACCTGGCAGCCCTACTCTCTCCATCCCCTCCGCTGGAGTGCCCTTACAGATCCTGACTTCAGCTCCTACCACTGGAGCCGCCACTCAGGGTCCTCTCAGGATAAACCAGCTAAGGCCCATTCAGAGTGTGGGTACGTCAACCAGCGTGGCCCCTGGTGTGCAGCTCCTCAACTCTGGGATCATTCAGCTGCCCTCTGCTCCTCCAGGTACACTGAATTGGTTAGAAATTTACAAATTTAGCAAGCAGAGCTGAAACCATGCGTTGGCTGACAGTAAATTAATCTGGAACTGTTTTATTAGGTATTTCAATAATCTTTCCTAAAAAAAAAAAGCCAAAATTCTGCCTTTGAAATGTTTTAGATTTTTTTTCATTATACAGTATATGATAGTAAACCATATTCTTTGAGCCATTTAAAACTAGCAATTTGAAGATGTTAACTTGGGCTCAGAGAAATTACTGTAGAATGTGGATTTTGATCATTTTTGTATTTTTCATTCATTGCATAGATTAAGGGATTAGAATAGATGACAAAATGTTCAATTTATGTACAACTGTACTGTGCTACCTTTAGAAAGAACAGATTGTAATACACTTAAAAAATAATTCTAACAGTAGTGGTGCACTTCTGCTTTGAATCTTTTTACAGTCTTGACTATTGTCAGTTTATCATCTGTCACCGCTGCAGGTAATCTTCTCCTTGGTGGAAGCCCCTACCTGAGTGTCCAGCAAGGCAAGCTGATTCTCACCATCCCAGCAGGCATTCAGCTCACCAATCTGCCCCTGAAACCCGTCACCGAGGCTTCACCCATCTCTGCTAACGGAGCAAGTCCAGTTCTCACCCCCTCCAACATTCCTGTAGCCTCCCAGCTTTCATCCACCTCAAGCCACACCCCCATTGTCCTTGGATCATCTCCCCTGAACTTCATCAACTCGTCTCCACCGTACCGTGCTCCAGAGACGGGGTCTGCAACCAGCCAGACCCCTGCCATTCCCTCCCCTCATACCCTGGACCACTCCGTCATCCCCACCCCACAGAACACTCTCACTCCAGAAAGCATGCTCACACTCAGTCCTATGTACAGTGGAGTGACACCCAACACCCAGTTGTCCCAGCCAGCATGGAGCCCTGTGCCCCTCTCCACTTCAGCCAGTCTAACTCTGTTTGACATGCGCAGCAAGGGTGACCTGCCTGTAGACCCGGCTTTGTTAGGCCTACCTGGCGGAGAGTCGCTGCTTTTGGGAAGCCCCTCTCCAGAGCAGGATGTGGAAGCCAGCTCACCACTGGGGAATCCAGAGGAGATGGATGGAGACTCCAAGATTCTTACTCAGCTCCAGTCCGTACCTGTGGATGATGAGCTAGGCTTGTAGTGCGTTTACCTTGCTGGGCAACCCTGCATCTCTCAAAAACAAAAACAATGAAGCATGCAGTAGGTTACAGACTGTTTCTTTTTAATGATCTACAGGATTTTCTTCCATACTGTCAATCCTAAATGTCTTTTAAAGTATGTTTATGTTCTGACATAAACAACAATACAACAGTAATACCACCCTGGTCTCAGATAAACCCTCTGTGGCAGGGTTACATGGGATATTCATCTGCTGGTTCAACATCAGAGTAGTCCCGTGGGTTTCGCATCTCAGAGGTTTATTCCAAAACTGTACGTGCCTTACTCATTTTATCAGATCCACACAGACGACCCAACACAGATTAGTCTGCTTGGCAACATTCCTGGCTTATAAAGGACTATATTACACAAAGTTTCATGGATTTGCCTGTTCTCAGCTATTCTTTGCATTTTGTGGACTGCAGACCAAGTTCAGCTGTACCTGGAAAGAGCTCTCTGTGTTTTTTTTTTTTGCTGGCAGTAGAAGTAGTTTGTTGTGGCTCCACCACAGTAACTATACAGTACACCGGACTATTTGGCAAAAGGACAAATCTTGACACAAATGCACATCTGTCCAGTGTTCAAGAGATTCACGTTTCACAGACTGAATATATTCTTCTGTCAACACTCCAGGAAAATAATGAAGATTGTACTCTTCACAAAGTGAACAAAGTTAATTTTAATTTACTCACTTTTATTGGACAAGTTACACACATACACACACACACACAAGCAATTTGCCTCTGGTACAGAACCGAGGTAGCCATCTGCGGTGCCAACTCACACACATACACACGACGACAGCGGCGTTGTCCCTACAAGCTGCTGGCTATCGGGGGCAACTTGGGGTTCAGTGTCTTGCCCAAGGACACACGGACCACGGAGAACGAGAACCATACTGCCCACCTGCCGGTTAGGGGACAACCGCTCTACCTCCTGAGCCACAGCTGTGACCTTTATCTGAAACCAATGAAACTTAGTGTCTTCAGCTTTTACTACATAATAGCTTTGAGGGTTAAATAGCATTACAAGAGTGGTGTTAACATAAAATAGTGTTAACATTACAACAGTATTGTCTTACTCCAAGTTACTCCAGCCTGTGTTTGAACATGCAGGCAACTTCCATCTTATCAGTAAACTGTTTTGTAGTACCTTCGGCAGTTTTCTAGTTAGAATCCTGCTCTACAATAGTGAAACTATACCAGAGGAAATAAAAGGGTTTATACTCTATGCAATGCATGTTTAGTACATCATAGGACACTATGTGGCACAGTAGCCAAGTCAAAAAGCCAGTACACTTGGGAGATGAAAAGAAACTTTTGAATCCTGAGCTTTTAGACAAAGTGCGACGGTGCATTACACTGCTGTGATCCCACTAACTGATATTTGTTTCCAAATGCATCCAGAATCTGTCTGTTGAAATTGATAAGTGCCTTATTTTAAAGCTTATAGGTTTGATGTTTTTTTGAATAATTTAAAAAAAAAATCTTTTTACACAGTTGCTATATACCCAACTAAATTTATGGATTTACATTTCTGGATTCCATTTGAGCTCCAGTGAAGCACAATGTGACAGTTTTGATCGCACAGTCATAGCTCCGTCTTTTTTTTTTTTTTTGTATATTTTGCACATTTCATTCACACAATGTTTACGTTGAGCTGCCGTGTTGTTATGATAGTGGGTGGACTTTTCTATTTTATTCTGCCATGTCCTGTTCTTTCTTAATTGGACTTTTAATGACAGAACAGCTAAATGCTCATCACCCTGTGAACTTTCCACAACACAGGTAGCAGTCATACCTTTGGCCACTCATGGTACACAAAAAGACACTTCAGTGCCTCATCTAGTTACAATAATGACCTTGTGTTTTCTTATCATTATGTTTGTTGTTTGTCTCTTTTGTACTTTTAATCTATTTAAAGCATGTACCAATCAATTTTTGCTTTTAACTAAAAGAAAACTAGTTCTCTTGGATGAATGCTGATAGGAAATGATATTCATTTTCACTTGGAAGCTCACACTATTGTGCAAACTGAGGGTTTACAATCTCAGACTACAGGTATGAAATCAGTTGTGATGCTAGACTGGTCACTTTGAAGTACGTCATCCCCCCCGTTAATAAATTTGAAGGTCAGCTGTTCTAAGCGCCTTTTGGGTAGATTACTAAATGGCTTGGACAAATCAATTTTATTCTAAATTTTGCTTAACACTTAATTTGTTAGGGGCAAAGGGAAATGTGTCCTTACATATGTAAAACCACGGTAGCTTGAATTTGTTTGAGCTTTTTTTTTTTTTTTTAACCAAAGTATGTTGACATTAAAGCCTGTGAGGGCTTGTGCACATTTGTACCCCCACATTCATTTGTAGCCTGGGATTTGTTTTGTTTTTACTCTCTTATCTGACTCATAGCGAAAATGACTCCAGATTTAACCAAAGATATTGTATTTTAGACAGCTTGTTTTGGTAGGTTTGAAAGGGATCATTTGTTTCTATCATTCAAGGTTCTTGTTTTCCCATTTTGTATTCAAATGCATTCTATTTTTTATGTTACATGGTATTGTAATAAAGTACATTTACAAACAATGTACTTGGCCATCACATTTTGAAACGTTTAATATGTTTAAATGAGTAATATGTTTCTAATTTGGCAAGAAAATTTTATTCAAATGCGTTTTCTCCCTGCGATGTGGAACCCTCATGCATTCTCTCGCTCACTCTTTGGGTGAATGCCAGTACAACAGCAAAATTCAAACATGAGTGTGAGAGTATACGTGCATGTGTTTGAACAGGAGAGGCAGGGGTGTATAGTGTGTTGTTATTACCCTGATGGTCTCAGGTTACCTGCGACTCGATTCTGCCGGGGCACGATGATGGGTAATGATAAGCAAACATGCACGTTTGCTTAGATTTTGTTCACCAAGCCGCAAAAGCAGTGCTCCACAGAGGCTTCAGCTCCTGTACACACGTAGAAGAGGTCGTGAGAAGACATCTCCACAAAGACTTTGGTTCAACTTTCACCTCAGGACTTTTTTGACCACCGTCCTGTTTCCACAACAATGATCTTCACAGCAGAGCAGGTGGCTTGTGTGTGCGAGGTCCTACTACAAAGTGGTTCCATGGATCGTCTTGCCAGCTTCCTCTACACTCTTCCTCCTCCATCCCTCTCCTCCTCCTCTCCCTGCCCTCGGGAACTGGAGAGTGTGTTAAAGGCCAAAGCCGCAGTAGCCTTTCACCAGGGGCGCTTCTCTGACCTCTACACCCTGCTGGAAGGCTTCCCCTTCTCCCCACGCAGCCACCCACTCTTGCAGCAGCTCTGGCTCCAAGCCCATTATGCTGAGGCCGAAAGGCTGAGGGGCCGTCCCTTGGGAGCTGTGGGGAAGTATCGTGTAAGAAGAAGGTTTCCTCTACCACACACCATCTGGGACGGAGAGGAGACCAGCTATTGCTTCAAAGTAGACCAAATCTTATCTTATCCTAAATACATGTTATTTATCCTTCTGGTATTCACATGGTAAGAGACAGTGAAGTCTACACGAGTCGTGATGTTTGCTTAGCTGTGAAAGAGCTCATCAGTAATGGAGGCAAACTAGAAAGGCCAGTGGTATAAAGTAACTTAAGTACATTTAGTCCAGTACTTACTGTAAGTGCAAATTTGCACTATTTGTATTTGACTCAACTATCTTATTTTATGCTATATTATACTCCATCACATTTCAGGGGGAAAGTTTTCCCTGCTAAATTTATCTGGCATTTATAATTAGTCTATAATTAGTTACTGTGTAGGTTCAGATTTTACAGGAAAAATGTATAATCCTCTTCCTTGTTATAGATTAACATACTCAAATGTAGGCCTACCAGATACAACTGTAAAGTCATCATAACAGTAGCATATATTAATATGATGCAATGAGATTACTGTATGTTAAAAAAGGAACCATTTTTATAATGAGTACCAGTGCTGGTCTACTTTCAGTTCAGTAAAATTTGGAATGGAGGTCTTTCACTTGCAATGGAGCACTTTCACACTTTGGCATTAATATTTTTAACTATCCAAAATCTTTTTCCATCACTGGGGAAGTTAAACAGGTGGAAACAATCAAAAGTGAGACACTTTTGTTTGAAGGGCTTTCTCAGGCCAATGGGCCTGTAAACGACCACATATTGGAAATAACGCTACCCCTCCAATCTTCAGATGACTTCCTGCTGTAATATTAATTTTTATTTGTTCGACATTTTCAGGAAAAATCCCGGAGAATACTACGGCGGTGGTATCACCAGAAACCTTATCCCTCCACACGGGAGAAACGAGAGCTCGCAGCCGCCACCGGCCTGTCAACCACGCAGGTCAGCAACTGGTTCAAGAACCGCAGGCAGAGGGACCGAAGCACATACGTTACCGGGTTAGTGACAGGGAACCGCCTCATTCTAACCATTTAATGTTCTCCGGTGTATCAACATGTTATTTTGGAAAACATTTTTAGTATGGCCTCACTTTTCCAACAGCTAAATGCAGCTAGCTTTACCGTGGACTTACCGCGACAACAGCAGAGGGATAGATACACGGTGACCAAACCACCCACTGGGGTCCAAATTTTACCTGGCGTCATAAATATCAAGACTGTCCAAATCAATTAAAAGTTAGAGTTAAGTTTAAAGGTAAACGTTAAAACCATCCACATTGGCTAAAAAGTAGCACATCTTTACACTAATCTGGGATTTTACCTTACATTGATCAGATATGATTAAAATCCAGTGTCGGTTGACCGCGGAGTGATATGATTTGACCTGCCAATCGGAGCAGACCCTGACCGCTAAGCGGGCACAGAGGGCAGCTGCACGGAAGCCCGAATTTCACTATACTTCATGTCAATACTGTTAAAATAACTTGATTAATCACATTTATTAGACATTTTCAGTATTATCTGTAACAGGTCCCTCATCCTCCATCTTGTATAGTAGGTCTAGTTTTACAGAGGGACTGTCAAAAACTTTGCTCATTTTGTAAAGTATTGAAATAAAATTGGTAAATTGTCTGTGTCAGGTAATTAACACACAGACACACACACAAACTCGGGCACAGGAAGGCCAGAAATGATTAGATTTGACAAAATATTTAATTGATCAGAAATAATCTACTGTTTAAAGTGTCAAAGTATGATTGAAATTTATTATTCACGATTCCCAGTTTGTGGTAACTCCTAGTCTGAAAGCACCCACTGGATGAAAAGGTAACTATATACATGTTAGCGCCAGATGCTCCAGCGCAGCAATGGGCTCTAGAAAAACCCTATTACTGAGGGACACATGGCGTTTCTCGACCTAGAGCTCCCCCTATTGGAGAATATGGCACATGCCAGTATACTTATCAGCGTTTAGGTCATCGTACAAATTGACAAATTCAAAAATAGAAATCATTTTTTCTTTCAGTCAACTAATCAAAAGATCACCTGGTTTAATGAAACAATATCTGTAGCTCACTGGCTGGTTGCAGGAGAAATAGATCCTGCCTTGGTGTGAGGATCAAAAGGAGCTTAGTCTGGACTGGGAGAAATTTAGTCTCTTCATCTTTACAGTGAGTGGGTGGATTTGTTTTTTAAAAGAAAACAGCAATTACTGTTAAATAACTGCTAAAAGTATTGTAAGCAGTTGGTCTGAGGGCAACTAGTCTAGTTTTCCTGCCACTATTCTCCTGTTTGAGAAAAGACCAGGTGGAGGAAAGAAATGATGGTGTGAGTGTCTTTTGATGCCATGGGAACATTTGTAAAAACAAATACAAGACGACCATCTTTCTTGTTTGTTCTTGCAACAATCTGAAGTTTGCATATAACAATTGAAGAGAACTGTTTGCTTTCTATTGCACACAATGGATGTATTATAGTACATCCATAGTACACACATACACTTTGTATGCTTGTATTCATTTTTAACATAGGTTAACAGCACCATCTTGTGGCTAAAATAGGACGTGAAAAATCGGTGTTTTGACATTTTTCTTATGCATCTCTTCTCTTCCTTCAGTTTCCAAACAGCTGGCTCTGGATGTCCCTTCTCTGACAACAACCTTTCACTTGCAGGCAGCCCACGTCCCCAGTGCAACTGCCCTCCACATCTCTCTCACCCACCACCTCCTCTACATCACATTCATGGAGGCCTCAACTGAGTCTGCTCTTTGAATGTTCAATTTGTGATTTCTATTACTTTAGCCTTTTCTTTTTGATTAGTATATTTCAGATATGTAGTCTTGCTTCTTTTTGGCAGCTGAGTTGACGTTCTGATTCCATTAAAATAAACACAAGTGAGGCATATTACCAAAACAATGACTCAGACCCTGGGCCATGACTTGACCATATACAGAACAACATACAAACCAGACATTAAAAGTAAGCATCTTAAGGCTTTATCATTAAAATCATCATAACCAGTTCACAGTTGTGCTGTAAAGCCCTGCACTGGGCGTCCCACATGGTATAAACACGTTTTATAACAATCCGGTTCTTCAACTTGTTAAAGGGAAGTTAAAATAGAATGTGCTGGTAAAATGTTCCCACGTGTACCACATCTACAAGTTACAGAATTTTTCTAGCAGAAACCCTTTTCAGTGTTTTCGATTTCCCAGAATTGCATCAAATTCTATAAGATACTGACTAAAAATAAAAGTCGATTACACTTTTTACTCTACCTTTCACGTGGTGTAAAAGAACTCTACTGACTAAATTACACTGACACACTGTCCATAAGAGCCATATAATATAGCTAGAAATTAATAACAGCAGGTTGTAAGGCGACAGGCTCTTCAGTCAGGTGAAGCTAAAGAGAATTATTCAATGATATGACCTCACTGTCATTCACCACTGTCCCCGTGGAAGGTGCTGGAACAGTCTGTCACAGGTTAAATAATTGATACGGCTAGGCTTTTTGTTTTTAATTAAGCAAGCCTTTTAATTTAGAGGGCTTTTAAATTGAAAAACGTTTCCCAGCTGTTCCTCAAGTACCATACTCATTAACCAGCACAAATTACATTTTAATTAAGACTTCACATGCCCAGATATTTGGACAAGAGTCCAGGGAGACTGGACAGTCCAGCAAGGACCAGACTCGGGTACAATCTGCTGGTATCCCAGTTCAGTACATTTCACCTGGGTCATCTCTTAACCTTTCCTCATAACTGGTGTGCTAAACAGTACGCTGTTTCCAGTCCAGGGTAGAAGTGAGCAGAGGTCTTCAGGTGAGAGCTGCGTGGACCTTCACCACACATACATGTGCTTTGTGTTCAGAAGCCCAGGTACTCGGCCAAAAACACGGCCATGATCTTAGTCAGGTTCTCCACAGTGGGGCGGTGCATGTTCTCCTCTGTGTCGTCCAATGTGTGCCAGAAGTGTGGGAAGGGGGTGGCGACGACGTGTAGCACAGGGACACCTGTTTGGGGTAGGGGGTGGGGGGGATAGTGATGACTGACACTGTGTTTTACACACACATACTATACATTCTAATAAAACCATGTGATGCAGTAAACGTCATTTGGGCTGAGTAATATTTTATCTATACCGCTTATTCCTGAACAGGGTCGCAGAAAGGGTGGAGCCAATCCCAGCTGACATTGGGCGAGAGGCGGGGTACACCCTAGACAGGTCACCAGTGACATGAACTCCACACAGACAGGCCCCGGGTCAGCCGGGGCTCAAACCCAGAACCTCTTTACTGTGAAGCAACAGTGCTAACCACTGTGCCGCTATGGCCAGGCTAAATTCAAATGCATTTCTGATGATCAAATGAGTCATGACGCAGCGTTACAACTCTCTGCTTCACCCGTTATATTATTATATATTATTTTACTATTCCGACTATCCCTTGGTATTGGCAGCAAAATGTTTTACTGTAGCAGAAAAGCTTATTTTACATAACGAGAGGATCCCATGAAGACCTGTGTGTACACAGTGGATTCAACTCGTGACAGAGAATGTTTCTTTTAAACACTGTTAAAAGTAAAACTAACCAAATCCACCATCTCTTTCTGACATACAGTGGATTCACACAATATTTAGACTAAATATTTTTGCACATTTTAGTGTGTTGTGGATTCAGTTTTAATGGATATAACTTGCATTTGTACTCATTATAAACCTAATCACCCATGACTGCAAAGTGAAACCATGGTCAGAGAGTCATCTGAAAATTAATCAAGAGTCAAAAACAGGCACCTCTTACTCTCTAAAGTATTCAGAACCTGCATTTGGTTCTTTGTAGCAGCTATTTCAGCGTCTCACCTCTTCCCTGTCAACAGGGCGCTCTCTAGTGGCTGCTGACTGTAACAACAAACTTCATCTTGCTCCCTAATTTTACAACTTTATTACAAAACAATGGCCTTCAGTGTGAATGGAATTACAATGAAATGTCAAATGAAATGCGGCACCAGAGACACAATTCACTTGGGGTCTAGGCATTAGATACTACAGCTTATATTGGTTTAGGCTCTCTGTGTTGTTTATTGTTAAGAACTTAATGGTGACTGAAGGAGGAATGAAGCAACCATTAGTAACAGACTGGCTGGTCCTTATCTCCTAAAGGCTGAAGTTAAGATTCCATTGTGTAGAACGCAGCAATACAAAAGGGTCTACATGTTTCAAATTACAGTGCGACACATAACAAACATAACAATAGTAGGAAAAAAGAAGTTTGATTAGTGGGGAGACTGTCTTGGCCATCGCTGTGTAAGAAACGTTTTAACCTTTCCTATTGCATTATATATTACTGAATGTTTAAACGGTAAGCTGCATTATAAACTGGGGGAATGAAATATTAAAGACGTGGTGTTCACCTGTCAGAGGGATCGAACAAGTTCCAGTGAGACGTTTGTGTGACTTAGGGCCACGTTTCCAGTCACTCTAACAAACTGGTCTCTGTGGTTCTTTCAAGCTGTTTGCACCTTCGACACAACTGAAAGGCTGGTAATCTATCAAAGCAGCCCCAAGAGACTGTAATGAGACGTTATAATGTGAAACAAAAGGGATCGTCCTGTGGTGAGCGTAACAGAGATTTGAAACGCTGTCATCTTCAGTTTCACTAAAGGCAAGTGCACTTGAGAGGAGTTTTCCAGGTCAGTCTATGTTGACTTGGAGACGGCATCCTTTCATACTATTTATTGAAATGTATATTCACAAAGGTAGACACAGGCATATGTTGTTTACTTCAGTAGAAATAAGAGTTCACCAATTTACATGTTTATATACATGAACAAGAATGAATGTGGTGGTAGGCCATTTGCTTTCAGGAGTGGGTAAGTTAGGAAGGGGGATCGGGGCAGGGTGGGGTTTCAGGAGGAGGGTTGTTCTGCCACCCTCCTGTCCCTCTTCTTCTCCTTCTTTTCTTTGTTGTCATGTAGCCAAGCATAAAAACTGTTGTGCAATACTTTGAGATTTGTTGAATTTCTGGTGTCTAAGCTCTTTTTTTTTCTGCACAAATTGAAAATGTGCACAAAAGCAGGTGGATGGAAACCCACCTAGTGTTGTCACTCACCTCTGTGAAGGAAGGGGATGTGGTCGTCCTGGACAGGTCCGAGGTACACATCCTTCCTAAAATACAACTGCTCTGAGGAGTGAGACATCAAAAGGCCCTGTTGATGGAGTCTCTTCTCTGAGAGTGAGGGGTGGAAGGACAGTAAGGACATAAAGCAGAGAAGGCTGTCAATATTCACAAAAAGGCTAAGGCCACGCTTTACCTGCAGCGATCAGACGGTCAAACCAGCGTGCCGTGTTATCAAAGTGATTCACAATCAGTGGATCAGGACTGCCGAGCAGGTCTAGGAGCAAAAACAGGTCCTAGAGAGAGAGCTGGAAGTAGTCAGTGGCTGCAATGGAGAGCAGTTATTTAAGATATGTAACACACACACACACACACACAGCACATTATAGTGTTAAGATTTGTGACTACGTAAAAGACAAAGCAGGAAGGAGGAAGTTAAAGACTGTAACTAGATCTGGGCTCTTGATTTTAAAAGTTAATTAAATGTATCTAGTATCAGGGTTAGTTATTCATAAAGACCTGATAGTATTGCTGCCGTTAAGTTTACAATAGGCTGTGAGGATGACTATGGATAGTGTGTATTTCAGTGTCCTCACCACAGCCTGGATCATGGTAGCATGTGAGTAGCCTGCAGGGTGAGGTGTGCTGGCCATGCGCTCGGCCAGGTGACGAGAGCCGTACAGTGAGTCTGTAGCAGTCCATTCTCCAAATGACTCCTCACCGTCAAAAAAAACAAGCTGAAGAGACACTGGAAGTTTCTAGGAGGAAAAGCGAGGGAATCAAATCAAAGAGCAGCTACTGGGGCCAGGGTGACTTTCTGCAGTGTTGTCGCAGTGTGTCTGGTGACTACAGAAATCACAGAGATGGTGCTAAATACTGCTGCATTGAACACATGGGGCCAGAGTCAGCAATTTCCACTTTACACTGCAGCATGAGAGGCAGAGGGACAAAATAAAGACATTAGCAAACCTCAGCATCTCAGGTCTTTAGTCTTTGCCAGAGGAAGGGCCACAGACAAATAGGAAACTAATCTGTCAGCATGTGCTCCAGATACTGTCTGAGTCATAAGTGGAACCACTGTAAACTGCCAGAACGTCAATACACGTGTGACAAAAGCAGAGCTGAGCATATACCTGCTGTTTGAATGATCGAAGCTGGGCGTCCAGAGAAGTGGCAAGCTCCAGGATTATAGCACAGGGCACTGCAGAGTCACTGGCTCCCAGAAACACCCTCTCTGGAGCCTGGGGGTTCTTGGGCAGGGCCTTGGAGTCATAGTGGCAGGCCAGAAGCAGCCTCCGAGGGGCAGAAGGGTCCAGAGTGGCAACGATGTTGGTGAAGGTGACCTGGCCACGAGGGGTTGAAGACCGGAAGGAGTCTAGGTCTATGGACCAACCAGCAGACAGCGAGGAGAGCACAGAGGTGATGTGCTGAAGAAAGAGGGTGGGCTCAAGATGAGGGAGGAAAAGAGAGAGAAAATGTGCAAAGAAGAAGCAACTATTTCAGTTTTACACACACCTGCTGTACAGCAAGGCTTCCTTGTGACCCTGGGAGTCTCTCTATTAGGATGGGCCTCAGGTGAGTCTCCCACAGACGTGTCCCGTCCACCTGAGAGGCCAGACGGCGGATCTGAGCTAAAGAGCACTTACTGGGTTTGTAGTACAACTGGTGAAGAAACAACAAGATGGATAAATATTTGTTTAACATCAAGCACCCTGAATACAGCTCCATTGGGCCTGGGAAACTGTGATGGGCACTGTTTACTATCTTCCAACAAACTGAAGAATAATAGTACCAGGGCTGCAAGTAACTATGGAGTAATCCGTCTGTAATTTTTCAATAATGTCAGGAAAATACGAAAAACGTCCTTCTCCATTTTCCTGAGCCCATGTTGCTTGTTTTGGCTCATCAACCCATTTAAATTCAGTTTAGTATGATGTAAAACAAAGCAAATAATCCTTAGTTGACACTGAAGAAACCAGAGAATGACTGTAATATCTCCTTCATTATTTTGTTAAACAATTAATCGGTTATCCATATATCTTATGATTACTATGGTTTTCTGTGGACCTGAGTGTTGAGGAAAATAAGTTCTGCCTTGTTGATCGCTGCATCCATGTGTAAACAACTTTGGTTGCTTTATAAAAACGTTATTATTATGAATGGGCAACTCTGAACGAACTCCTAGTTCTATGTCACCACCTAGACATGGATGTGATCTTTTTACTGTGACATGTTCCGAGCCCACACAATGCAACACGTCTGATGTATTCTCAGTTTAAAGACGGTGGTTCTTACCCTGTCTTTGGTCCGATCTGCGACTTGCCCGCGGTTCACCTGTCCACTAACGGCGTCGCTGGACAGGTACACTCCCAGCACCACCGTCAGCACCAGAACCCCGAGGACACCGAAAAGCAGTACGCGAGCCCGGGTTTTAATTTTCAGATGGACGCCAAGAGCCCGGAGCATCCGAACACGGTCACAGAAGGGCAAAGAGCCGCTGCTCTGCTGCAGAGGCTTGTACCGACGACTGGACCTGGACATAACTGGAGGCTGAGTGTCTCCCAATCAGCTACGTGTACAAATGGGCTGCGGAGCGGGGTAGGAGGGAGGCTGACACAGGAAGTCGAGCAGGACGAGCTGACTGTCAGCAGACGGCTGTTATATTTGCATGTACAGCTTATAATGTCAAGAGAATGATGCATCCTTCGCCTTTGCTAGCCTGTCTTGTGCGGTCCCAGTCTTCGATGGAATTCTAAGATGCCAGTTTCCTGTAGGCATGGCTGACTCTAGGGTTTCATTCGGGTTTAGGCGTAACAGATTAATTCGATATATCTCGTCTAGCTACTCCTCACTGCTGTGTTGAGCTCCTCCTCATCCACTAACAGCTACTAATGCCAAAAGCTGCAAAACTGCCCTAGCTCGTCTGATGCAGATATCCTCAGGCCTATAAACATACATAGTTTACGCCTTATTACGGTAGTCGTCTCTGAGCAAGTAGCGTAATTTCTTCTTCCCCATTTTTATGGTGGTTGAAAGCGAACTTTGTGGCGCCCTACCGCCACCCAGTGCTCAGGATGAGAAACTACAGTAAAAACGTTCGTTGTTCACTGTTGCTCGATGCTGTTACTTGAACAGTTAATCCAGCCTCACATAATTTTGGAGGCAAATATCGTAGCAATTTTTTACTCCACTACATTTATCTTATAGCTGTGGTTATTGGCTTCTTTTCAGATTAAGAGCAGTATAATTTTACATAAAACACAAAATATAAATACAATAAAAAAAACATATAACCAGGGGATTACAGTAAATCAAATTGTTTGATTATCCACAGACTATCCAACAAAACGTTTTTTGAAGAAATTTGGAAATTTCAAAAGACTTCAACTGTTCTTTCTGTGGTGGCCACTTGGAAACTTTTAGCCATTTATTTTGGTACTATGACCACACCCATAGATTTTGGAAAGATGTCTGGAGACTCATATGTAATAACTTGATTTCTGATTGTAACCTCAAATTTGAGAATCTAGTTTTTGGTGTTCATGGTTTTTAATTAACTTAATTATCCTTCAAGGCAAATATTTTCTACACAAATGCAAATTTGAAAAAAGAAAACCCTGCTTCCAATCTTTTTGAAATTACATGGACTTTTACACAAAGACTGTCTGCTCTTCTGAAAATGTTATTTATATCCCTGATTGTTCTGCCAAATTACTAACCAGACGTGGCCAACCCGCAGGTTACACGTATGCTGTATCTCTATCATGTGAAATAAAGTTTAAAAAAAAAAAGGAAAAAACGGAAATTAAAGACAGTGTATACTCATTTGATTGGCCCTCATACAGATCCCGTATTTTCTTGAATGTCAAGAGAATGATGCATCCTTCGCCTTTGCTAGCCTGTCTTGTGCGGTCCCAGTCTTCGATGGAATTCTAAGATGCCAGTTTCCTGTAGGCATGGCTGACTCTAGGGTTGCTTTGACCAAGTTAACCCGGCGGATGTGTTCATTCGGGGTTAGGCGTAACAGATTAATTCGATATATCTCGTCTAGCTACTCCTCACTGACAGCTACTAATGCCAAAAGCTGCAAAACTGCCCTAGCTCGTCTGATGCAGATATCCTCAGGCCTATAAACATACATAGTTTACGCCTTATTACGGAGTAATTTACAACCACAATTTTTCACCACACAGATATATAATCTGGAATAACCGATACATTTTGTATGAGAACAGACCTATATATTTTTTTGGTTTAATAATATTGTGCTTGTAAGGCAGCTTTTCAATGACCAAGGATTGTGCTTTACTTATCAGGAATTTTTATGGTGGCATCTGAGTTAATGTGCAACTAGTTTTAATGTAATTTCTCAGTCCCTCTATGTTCCGTATTATTGACGTTATTGTTTATGGAAGTAGCCATAATCCTTTGTCATAGTTGGCGCCAAAACGCTAACTTACCAAGTTGTGTCATTGTGGAGCTGACTTGATGAAATGCGAAGTTAATTAGCTTGCTTAGGTTTAGGTTCTACAGTGTTGTTTAAACTGTTTGTGTCAGACTTTTTCAGAACAGTAGCTGGGTTTACAACCCATTGTTTCCCCTAGGTTTACAGTATGTACTTTGTGGTACATAAAGTGAAGGATGTGATTATCCACAGGTGCTATCCAACAAAACGTTTGTTTCCCCAATTTGGAAATTTCAAAAGACTTCAACTGTTCTTTCTGTGGTGGCCACTTGGAAACTTTTACCATTTATTTTGGTACTATGACCACACCCATAGATTTTGGAAAGATGTCTGGAGACTCATATGTAATAACTTGATTTCTGATTGTAACCTCAAATTTGAGAATCTAGTTTTTGGTGTTCATGGTTTTTAATTAACTTAATTATCCTTCAAGGCAAATATTTTCTACACAAATGCAAATTTGAAAAA